ATTTAATAATGATAAATTATGAATTGATGAAATCTGATAATAAATGATAAGTTGATGAAATCTGAAGACTGATGATATAGTGCAGCAAAGTTTTATAGTTTATTTAATTTATTTCAAAACTTTCTATTTTAATAATAACTTTAATTTATTCTTTTATTAGTTATACACATTTCTAATTATCTATATTTCTGGTCAATGATTTGGGCAAAAGACTTTGTTTCACACATCTTGTTTTCGTTCATGAAAGACGCTACCAACTATGATATTGCACAAGACAAACGTCAATGACATTTACTCTGTGTCGGAACAGGAGGCCGGAGGCTTAGGTCTTGTTGGCTCCTACGGCCCCTCAAACTAGGGGGGAGACACAGACAACCCCTACAGAGCAACTGAGCTAATCGTGACACATCGACTTCCCACTGATCTGTCTCTTCGAAAATCTAATCTTTCAGCCTAGTCTACAGTTAATTCACGTATCTATTATTAATCTACCTAGTTATTCAAATACAGCTTTCATAGCTATTTGAGAAAGAAAAATGTATTTCGCTGATTCATAGCTAATGATACATTGTCTCATCATCGTATTATTATTGTTATCATTATCATCATCATCGTCACCATCATCACTATCATATTCATCATTATTATGGCATAGTTTTATCACCATTATCGTTATCATTCTCATAATTATCGTTATCATGATTATTAATTTATCATTATCATCATTATTAGTATCAAAATTGTTAATGATATTATTCTTACTGCGAATTTTTAACTATGGATTATTCTTATTATGATCATCTCTATTATCACCATTACTATTATCACTATTATCATTATCATTAGTATAACTAGTAGTAGTATATTATATATGTACTTATATGTAAACATATGTGTGTGTGTAGATAGATAGACAGATAGATATACAGATACATAGATGCACACACACACACACACACACACATATATACATTTATATATATATATATATATATATATATATATATATATATATATATATATACATATATATATATTTACACCCACCCACACACATGTATATATGTATGCGTGTGTGTGTGTGTGTGTCTGTGTGTATGTATGTGTATACACACATACATATATATGTATGTATGTACGTATGTATGTGTGCATTTATATATTAATATCTTTATTTCTTTCAATTTCTTCAAATATTCCTTATCTGCAATTTCTGCATTCTATTTCTTGCAGCATTTATTTATTTGTTATCACAATTATATGTTATTTTTATATTCTTGTGATATTCTTTCAAATTTTACTATTTTCAACCTGTCTTTCCTTCATTTCTCTGCTTGTTTTTTTCGTGTCTGTTGTATGAAATGGAACCAAACCTAGCACTAAAACAAATAAACAAACAACAATTAAAAGTAAGTATTGAAACAAAAATAAATCGAAAAATGAATACCAAAAGAAGTAAGTTTATCTTTTAAATGAAAATATCTTATAACAAATCTGAATACTTCATGGCAAGGTGTGACTAGAACGTTTCAGAACTAATGAGATGACCATTCATTCTGTGCTCTTCATTCCAAGGCTGAAATGAAATAATGATAGAATAAGGAAATCATTTTGTGCTTTACGGCAGGAGAAAGGCGTGATTTTTTCTTCGTTTGATGTGATCGTTAATCATTATTAATGTTTTTTTTTCTATCGAGATTCCTTGAAATTTCTACATTAGCAATATCTTCACTGCACAGACGCTCTCTGCATTACCATTTCTTCTATCTTTCGAGTGCCGCAAGGGCGTGGGCGTGGTGCGTGCGGCGGGGCCGGTATAAAGGGCGCGCAGTGGCCGCCTCCAGCACAGTTCCTGCCGCTTCAGCTCCCTCACCTGTTCCAGCGTCCCACTCAGGTCATCCGAAACATGATGCACAAGCTGCAGGTGTTGCTGCTGGTGGTGTGCGTGGCGGTGGGCCCCAGCCTGGCCCAGATCACCTTCTCGCGCTCGTGGGTGCCGCAGGGGAAGCGCTCAGGGGCCCTGATGGCGCCTGAGGGACCTGCTCCCCTGGGGGAGAGCTGTCACGGCGCCTACGTCGATGCCCTCATCCAG